CAGTTTCCCCCCACAGGGAGAGGGGGTCGGTGGGTGACAACAGGGGGACGCAGCCCCACGTCCCCAGGACGAGCCAGCTCTGGGCAGCAGCGTGGCCAGGCTGGCAGGCACTAGATGGCACCAGTGCTCCATCGTGATGCCAACTGGTGTGCCACAGCGGGCTGCCAGCCCCGCCATTGCATCAGGGTGCGATGCCAACCGTGCCAGGGCTGCCGGACCCTCTGTGCTCGCAGCTGGTCCTGGAATCCCCATTGGCAGTGAGCAGCGATGTCCCCCAAAGCAAACCCAGGGCACCGTCAGCACCTCAATCCCCACCCCAAAACGGGGAGGAAAAGGGGAAAAAACCAAAATCTCGCCTTGGATCAAAGATTTTCTTTATATTCCGACCTCAGCACCACTGCAGAACACAGCAAAGCCGTTACCCGCACCAAATACCTCCATAGGGACCAGGGCAGCAACAAGGCATTAAATTTTAAGCAAGAGCCTGAGCAGGGAGGATGAGGAGCTGTGGGAAGGAGCCAGGCTGGAGGAGACCTGCCAGGGGCCGCAGACAGGCAGACGGGCAGGAGAAGACTGCTTGGGCAGCCTGCCTTGCTCTTGGCAGACTCAAGAGCGTCACGTCTCCCTCTGGCTAATAATAAATGCCAGTGTGTTTTAGGAACATTACCCAGCCTGGCTGGAACCGCCGCTGGCTGCTGAGCATTCTGAAAGGATTCAGCCCCGACGTCTCTCCCAGGTTGAGGTACTGCAGCACCTGGGACAGACCCAGGTAAGTAAGAACCTTCAGGATTTGCTCCTCCCATGGCTTCGCAGTTCAGCTCTAGCACGTGGGAATCAGTGTCCCCTGCTACGAGGGTGACCCACACGCACCAGAAGCCATCGCACCCACAGGGTGATGCCCTGGGCAGCTGGAGAACAATGAAACCAGGAGAAACACCTTGTGGGCACTGCCACCAGGAACCACAGGTCAAAGGCAGCTTTGTCAGGATGAACGTGGCATTCGGGCCACCTCCTTCGGGGTGGTGACATGCGGACCATGCCAACCCCAGTCCCACTCACCTGCCAGGCTGAGCACCAGTGCTCCCAGGGCAAGCAGCAGGCAGAGCATCCTTGGCACGAGCAAAGCCTGGGTAAGAAGGCGAAACCGAGCACGGCCCTGGGTGTCCTTCTCAGGGGTCTTCTCTTGCGCAACAAGCACCCTGAGCTGGGGAAAAGCAGAAGAAAACACTGAAATGGTGCTGGGGACCAGGGGCAGAGAGCAAGAGAGGGCAGGAGACCAGCATCAGGCAGAGGATCCCATGACAGCTGTCCTTTTGGGCTGCCATGCGGCAACTGGAGCATCCACCTTGCCGTAAAACGCAAGAGGGGGTTTGCTTCCTGCCTGGCACCAGCTGAGGGACTGGTGCATCCCCTGCATCAGGGACACGACAGGCCCGGAGGCGGCTCTTGTGCCGGAGGCGCTGGCTGGTGCAGGGGGAAGCCACGTGAGCCTCTTCCCCTCCTCACTGCTTCTCCTCCCCTTTTGTTTCTCTCTCCCAGCGTCTCTCGACAGCATTGGGCTGTTACATCCCTGTCCTCCAAGAGGAGGCAATTTGCTCCCAGAGTCCAAAATGGCTAAAACCCAAACATATGAGGTTTGCAGATTCCTGGCTCTGCTGGCAGCTCAAGGGCTGCAAGGTTCATCCCTGCTTGTGGCAAGAAAGTCTCTGGCATGAGGCTGTCCCAAAAAATGGGGAATAAAACCAGAGCATCTCGGAGCTGGATGTGGGGAGAGGCGAGGGCAAGCTGCCCAGCACTGCTGGCTACCG